CCTACTATTCGAGACAACAGGATGACGTAACGTGATTTCGCGTTGCATGCCTGTGCCATTTTTGCCCATAACAATATCTGCATGTCTGGTATGAAGGGTGCACTAGTTATTTTGTTTGTTTTTGTGTAATTTTTTGTTTCTTTTTCTTCTGAAAGAATATTTTCATCTGAAAATATATCTTCATCTGAATAGTTGTCTATTGAGTTGTAGATGTTGAAAAGATTGTCAGCTATGTTTTGTGCATCAGCGCTTGTACTTGGGTTGTTCCCCATTATTGATAATTAATCATATTGTTTTATCACCAGGGATAAGATTATAAATAGTACTTATGAGATTGTCCATTGTTCAATTAGTGTTTTGGATCATTGCATGGATTTGTCTTTGTTGTACTTGTAGGTCTTGAACTTCATTGTTGCTTGGATATTTGCCTTCTTGATTATTTTCAGTTTGGTTATCGTCTATGTTAGACTCTAAGATAAATTCAGTTTTCTCCATAACATCCAGACCATTTTTATTATAGTACTTAAGGTTTGTGATTCTTTCATCCATTTCAATCATTTGTTATTTAATTTCTGCCAGGTTGTGTTGCATTTGTCGCAGAATATTTACCACTTCTTGGAGATTGTTTGGATTGTTTGTTAGTTGGTCTTGTATATGTTGTGATTTTGTTGCAGCTGTGTAGGATCCAGATCTGTTTGATCTACTTTTGGTTTGATTTATCTCCATGGTTTTTCTGATGTTTGCTGTTTTTGCTGGTTTGAATTTCTGATATAATCTCCTAAACTTAGTTGCCTGTTTTTTATTGTACTGTTGCCATTGTGTTCTTCTTTCTTTAATTGGACAGTTAATTGCAAGATGTGTGTGTGTACGTCACAGATTGCACAGGTTTTGTTTTCGATCTGTGCCCATGTGACTTGGGTTTCTCCCAGGATGAAGTTTTGTTCTAGTGCTTTCTGTAGATCTTTATGGTTTTCAAAGCTAATGATTGCTACTTTTCTTCTGTGGTAGCTTCCAGTTCTAGGAATATAGCATGTCTTTGTTGACAGATTATACACAAATCAAATGCAATTGTGTTTAGCAAAAGGTTGATCAATTTTGCTGCAATATTTTCTCTATCCTTCATTTCTTGTAAGCCCATTTGTATGTCGAATATTCTCATTGCATCTGCTTTCAATGGGACACTCCATGTGCTTGCAAGTTTATTCTTGTTGCTCTTTTCCTGAAAAGCTATAATGGCAGATTGTCACATGTGTTGAGTGCTTATACTCATACTGGTGATCTTTCCATATCTGGCAAAGGCTTGTCATACTTCTATGGGTTTTGTATCCAAGGGGATGTCCCATACTCTGATACTATTTTCTTGTTTTGTATCAGTGGCTAAGGTTGGCATATATTCCATATGCTTATTGTCCAATTCTGGAAGATTAATTGCACATGCAGCATCTGTAGCTTGTTTATTGCCAAAAATGACAATAATATATTCTTCTTCTTATTTTCCTTCCTTGCGAATTGCAAGAAGACCTTCAGGGCTTCCTATGGCTTTTGTAATGTACTGAATCTTTTGCCAGATATTGTTTCCTGGCACCTCTAATATTGCGATTTCCATCTTGCTCCGTTGTTTATCATATCTTGTTGCTCTATTAAAGGGTAAACATGGTCTGGGTTTTATGCTTGTTCTTTTAGCTTTCTCTTTTTTTTTAACTGTTTGCCAGGTGCTTTGTTCTTCTTGAGTGTCTTGATCAAAGGTAAATATCTCTTTATCACTGTTATTTATTCTTGCTATGCCAAAGTTATATTGTTCTGATGCATTATTCTTCAGTATTTGTATTGTTTCATTCTGCCTTTCTTTATTATATGCTTTTTCTTTGGGGGTAGTTTGAGTAGAAGTGGAGGCTTCACCCAGCTCTTCTTCCACTATTTGGCTCCATCTGTTTTCAGTACCTATGTGTGTGGGCTTTTACTATGTCTTGGTTGTTTACTATTGCTGTTGTTATGTCTTTGACTTTGGCGACAGTGTTGAGGGGTGGGTTGTTGCTTCTGTTGCTGGTTTTTCTTGTTTTTTGATGGGTTTCTGTACAGGGTAGAGTGTTGTCTCTCTACTTCTGGTGTTGTTTCTCCTCTTGGACATGTCTGCTATGTTGTAGTTAGGCCTGGCGGCTTGGTTGAAGCTTCTCAGGCTCCTGTTTGCACTTATTTTTCCATTTCGCTTAGGTTTCCTTTTATGGTAACTGTATGTGTTTGGGAAAGAGTATTGATATTTATTGATTTATAAAACAATTACAAGTATAAAAATACAATAAAAATATAAATCTTCTTAATCCATCCCATATATTAATAGCCAAAGTCTCTATATATAATTTATGAAAATAATATATTGTTCCACTAAAAAATAGGATTAAAATAAAAAACTGTTAATAAAATTAAAACTTCCAATAAGATCAAAACCTAAAGATCACCTTTATAATCATAACTATTGTTAAGGTTATTTTCAGTGAGTCTGTCGCTTCTGTCACAAGACTTGCATCATGTTTATAATAAGTATAATAAGACTTTTTTGAGATATGTATTATTGACTTGGCTGAAATGGTGTACTTTTTCTAATTCTTCTTTTCCTTTTTTTTCCATTGCTCACTCACTTTTCTATTTCCTGAAAATCCTGGTGTTTTTCTCTTTTGTGGCAAGTACTGGATTCAGGTAAGATTTAATTAGCTTTTCCTTTTTAAGGCAATGTCTATTACACAGCCTAAAAAGGAATATCTTAATTTAGGAATGGTTTGTTTTTATTTCATGCTCCTTTTTCCTAACTCTACTGGTTCTAATTAATTAACTGCCATATATTTTCTTGCTATTGTGAGGAGTTCTCCAAGTCCTCTCTAATATTTAAGTTTTTAAGGCTGAGGCGTAATAATTTGGTCTGAGTATTCTTCTCTTTCTACAAAATAAACTTCAATTCTATTCATTAACATGCACATTCATCTACTCAAACTATATCAAGGTTCCTGTTGTAGCAATGGGCATTCACACTATCAACTACTTGAAACTCTTTCAAATTTCTTTATGGTTGCAGTTTCACCTTCAAATGTCACACATTTGCAATAGTAGTTGTTTTTGAACAAATAGTTGTTAAACAATTAGATGTTTAGCAATTAGAAGTTTAAACAGATAGATGTTTAGCAATTAGAAGTTAATTTTATTTAGACATTTTCTCTTGCTTTATATACATGCTAGTCTTAAAAAATTATATCAAATATATCAACTATCTAAACTATTGCTAATATATCTAATTTCTTATCTATCTTAACTATCTTAAATATCTGAAATAAAATGATAAAATCAAAGAAAAGAAATAAATTACAGATATCTTATTTTTCTCAGATTTGTTATTTTTCGGATCATCTTTGCATATACTCATGTGACTATGCAATTTCCCTTTCACACTATTAGTTAGTTAATTGTCATACTTTTTGGATACAAGTTAGCCAATTGTCACCCTTTTGGTTATCAGTTAGCTAATTGTCATCCTTTTGATTATCAGTTAGCTAATTGTTACCCTTTTGGCTATCAGTTAATTAATTGTCACCCTTTTGATTATCAGTCACACTTTTTCTATCTCATTCTATCTATTTATAACCTTCCTTTTTTTACTTATTGTGATATTATTCCTGTAATTTACTGCTATAGACTATTTCAGACTTATAATGGTTGTAACTTTAATTTTAAACTTTTATACTTACTAAGTCTATTCCTGATTAAAGCTCTAATTAGATGTGGTATGCAAAAATTGCATTTGCAGTTTAATCAGCTCAACTTTT